ATTGGGAAATTACAACCTAGACTAGCAAACTTGCATGACATGGACTTTACCAACTATCTTCCCAGTCTGAGAGTGATGTTTCTGATGTTGAAAAACTTGATTTCAGGGAAGAAGAGTCCCAGCCTGGCATGTAATCCCCGGGTCCTATATCTGCCTTCAGAGTACAGCAGTGATGTTGGATGTTTTACGCCCATCATCACATTCATTCATATAGGAGCTGTATAAGAAGCAGCCAACTGCACACGAACCCCAGCATCATGCTGCTGGCGTCTGCCCCCTTGTCTAGTATTCTCCCCATGGACCAGTTCTCTGTCCACTCCACCACTCATTACACAGTCCATCACTGAAAAGAGCAGAGAAGTGTTATTCCTTAGATTTCCAACCCCTAGAAGTGAACTCTCTGGAATCAGAACAACGCCACCATTTACAAGTGACTCATTTCCTGAGAGCTTGGGAAAATGTTTTCACTCTGCAGAGGCTTGGCCAAGCCCCTGGGTGGAATCCCTCCACAGCAGCACTGAGGACACTGAGGAGAAAGAGGTGAGAGGTCATACTTAGCCCCTCGGGCTATCTTCAAGGGATCAGGAATCCAGTGCCAAAAGTAAAGCAGCAGAGTAGGTTGCTGAGTGCCATGAATCACTTCAGACAACCAAAGAAGCTGACCAGGAAGATCAGCAGTCTCTCTCAGGGGCCAGTGAGTGACAGAATAATTGAATTTATGGTTTAAAAGAAACCAAGCACTTAAAATATGAAAAATTAACAGTCTATTGACTTCCGAAGAGATGCTTATTTTGTGCATACTTCAGTCCAGTGAAACTGAGCTTCAATCATAGAGGTATATTTTTCCTAGTCACATTTTTATAATTTTTTCAACAAGAAATATAAAATAAACATCCAACCTTAGGATATTTAACTTCAAATAAATTAACTTGTGGCATGAAAATTAGACACTTGGTCAGATGTGTATGCGCTGGAAGAGTGTTGTGAACTATAGCACATGAATTCATGTTATTTGAACAATAAAATTACTGGTAAGGTACTGAAAGGTTAAAATCTTTTTTTAAATATAATTTATTTTTTTTTCAAATTTTAATTTATACTCATTCACACAGGGGTTATAAACACAAAAAGGCAGGACGTGGGGAAGGGGATGACACTGGAGCGTGGGTGTTCAGGGGGAATACAGATATTTTTCAGAACAGGGTATCATCTGGGTGAGGGTTCAGGGGATAGGTCACTATGACTCTGCCTGTGATTCACTTGTCCTTATCTAAGTTGGTAATATCTGCCAAGGCTACCTAATTACAAGGTCTGTGACTATTCAGGCTGGTAAATTGTCACAAAAACTACCTGTTTACAATAGCTTATAGCCATCTGTTTCAGTGTTTATCCACAGAGACCCAAGACTTGGTGTTAGTATACATATATGACAGGCCTATTGCTGATTTTAGGCCTATGGCTAATTTTAGGCCTTCAGTATATAAGCAGGGCTGCCCCTGACATCTCCTCCCTTCTCTAAGTATAGACGGGCTATGGCGAATCTAGTCTTGCGAAGGCGGGGATAGAGGCCTGACCTCCAGTATTTGAAGGGGACCTTGTAATGGCTCCGGTCCCCCTGTCGTTGTCCAGTGAGGCATGAGGGCCATACCCGTCCCAATGTCTTTTTCCTGGAGAGGGGATACTTTTGACATCATCCCCTATGCAGTCAGGCTTGTCCCTCAGGGAACCCAGAGAGATATTTTTAACTTTTATTGATATTCCCTTGCAGTGCTTAGCCTCGAAGCCTAAGCAAGAATTCAGGTCACCTGTCAGAGGGGGTTCTGGGTGGCCCCTCTCTGCCTGGTCTAGGGGCGAAAGTACCCTCTTTTAGGTTGGGTGGAGATGGGTTCGGGCACACCCTGGATAAAGTAACAACCTCATCTTGAGTCTTGTGGTCCTCCATAGCTAACTTATGATATGTATCTGAATAGGTTTTGCTACCAAATTATGTATCTGTTGTTTCACAGAGTTAGTCAGCCTATTTGAGGCCCAGGGACCAGAAGAAATAAGCAAAAAGAACCCAACTCATCTGTCTCTTTCTCTCTCTGATTTTTCTTATGGCCTTCACTACCTATTTCATGCTCTCTTTAACCATCCCTGTCTTGTCTATGTAAAGGCAACCTTGTTCTTTAAGGGCTGTACATAGTCAAGAGCTATACACAGCCTTTTCTATTATAATAGAGTAGATCAAGTCCAATAAGGATCTTTGCGATTTTAGGAGGTCTCTTCAGACATCGAAACTAGAGATTTCTTCAGATTAGTGATGTCAGTCTCTAGCTGTTTGATGTTCTTGTCAATGGCTCTTCGAAGGTCTGAGTAGTATAAGTTCGGAGGCCAGCATCTGGATTAGAACTTCTAACAGCAGACATCACGGGTGATTCATTTTTACTTGAGATGCTGCCCGAGTTAAAGCTCCTGGGAGGCCTTCTTCGGGGGGTTTTTGTAAAAATGAAAAACTTTTTTTTTACCATTTTTTTTTTTTTTTTTAAAGATTTATTTATTTATTTTATTTATGAATAGTACACTGTAGCTGTCTTCAGATACACCAGAAGAGGTCATCCAATCTCATTACGGATGGTTTTGAGCCACCATGTGGTTGCTGGGATTTGAACTCAGGACCTCTGGAAGAACAGTCAGTGCTGTTAACCGCTGAGCCATCTCTCCAGCCCGGTTAAACTCTTATAACATCCTTAACTTTAAAATTTTCAAATACATGAGTGAAACAAAATACAAGCCCAAACTTTAGTTGCAAATAGCTGACTCTATGATTCTTTACAGATGGACTGGAGAGACAGCACCAGTGGGTAAAAGCTCTTAATGAACAAGCATGGTAACCTGAGTTCAGATCCCAGCACTCATGTAACGAGCCAAGTATGGCAGCTTATGCCTGTAACCCCAGCACTGTGCAGGTGGAGACTAGATCAGTGGGGCTTGCTGGCTGTCAGCCTAGGTCCAGGTTTGGGGAAAGACCCTGTCTCAAAGAAATAAGGCAGAAAGTGATAGGGAAGGACACTAAGCAACCTCCCCTGCACAGACACATGCACATGCATGTGAGTATGCATACATACCCACACAAACCTTACTAACAGTAACTCATAAAGCAGGAGTGCACTTCTTATAGGCTACTGAGAGTTGTTGACTCTAGCTCGTTCCCATACAATGTACGCTTCTCTAACCCTGAGGACATGATTGCTCCAAAGTGTGGTTGAAGGGAAGATTTTTATTGTAAATATGAGGAAGAATGTACAGACAGAGCTATCTTAAAGAGTCCAGAACAGGGAAAGAAAGTAGTGGACAGAACATAGCCAGTAGACTTGGTAGTGAGGAGGGGTGGGGAGCAAGAGAGGTAAACAAAGAGGATGAGGGGAAAGGAAACCAAGGAAGAGGGACCAAGAGCGCACATAGCTAAAGGAGGAGATAAGGGAGTGAGAAGCTAGGGGAGGGAAACCCATGCACTTTAGTATGCTAATAGCATCCCATAGAGTCGTTTGTGTGGAGTTTCTTTTGGACCTGACAGTAATGATGATGTTAATTCAGTAGTCGACATTTTTGGAGTGAATCAGTATCTCTGTAGCCAACATTTTTTTACATGTTGCATTGATTTCATTTCTCCCTCTGAGAACTGGTTCATATTAGATCATAATTTTAAGTGAATTGCTTAGAGAAATAATAAAAATATTCTAAATAGAGATTTCAGTTCATATCAATTCACTCATTTGCTGAGGGTTGTATGACTCATGTATTATTTGGGAAAATCAAAGGAAAACAAATTTTCCTTTTAACACCTAAGAGGACAAGTGTTTCGTGTGTGTGTGTGTGTGTGTGTGTGTGTGTGTGTGTGTGTATGTGTGTATATGTGTGTATAAGAGAGAGAAAAAGAGAGAGGGGGAAGAGAGAGAGAGAGAGATTGAGAGAGAGAGAGAGAGAGAGAGAGAGAGAGAGAGAGAGAGAGAGAG